CAAGCAGTGAAAATTCAGCTCTCTCAATGCAACGCGTGACGTGATCAAATGATCTTAAGGTATTATTTTTCAATTATCGTTCGACTCCAATCAATTGAAAGTACATCTCCGCATTGTATATAACATAAATTCGTATATATAAATGTATGCCACCGATTCTCTGAGAAATCGAAAGGGCCAAAACAAATGTGTTCCTGCTGGCAAGGAAAGAAGGTTTCCGAATGATGCATGCGCAGGCAAATGAGGACTCGAAACGCAATAATGCGCACGCCATTCTCCACGAAGGTGCAGCGAGAGGCTCTTTCCCTACTTTTCTTTGGAAAATTTCGCGTTCGCAACCGAGTCCTGTAGCCAAGCTCCCACGAGAGAAAAAGTTATTTACTCGCGGCTTTTTGTACTTTGGGTCCGAGAGCTAAAGCCATTAGCCGGCTGAACACGAACCATTTATCAAAAAAGGAAAAAAAAGGGGGGTAAGCAGCGAACGTTAGTCTTGTGCGTTATTAATCTGTTAAACTTCGACGAAAAGCCGCTTTTCACTGTCGAGGGTTTAATGTATTTACTTTTTGTCGTTTTCGTGTTAATCGTTCACCCTTCGCAAAGTGAAAAACTTGTTTCGGATACAAAAAAAAAATGATTCATCAGCCGTGTAAACACTTATGAATAACTTTATCGAGTCACGTCTTGAAGCAGGTTGCAAACGCGACGATAGCTCAAACATACCTATACGTACGAATCTCGAGCAATCGCGAAGATTGAGTTCACGTGTAATATCGGGTACGCTGCGAAGCAAAGCGTACATAACACAAGATACAGATAAAACGTCTGCGCGAAGTCGAAGCCAGCCCAAGAGCGAGAAATTCGATCGAGCAAACAATTTCCTCCTCCTCCTGTGTTCTCTCTCTCTGTAAGCGTCGGAGTCGATGTGCGTTGCCTCGGTTGCAACGCGTGCTCCAAATTCACCCGCTGCGCGATTATTGCTCGACGCGCGCAAACGAACGCGAAAGGCTATATACATGTAAATACGGACAAACGACTTTTGACGGAAAAATAAAAAAAAAAAAAAACGAGGTATTTTTCGCAGGTATCGGTTTCATCGCACCCGCGCGCGCCCGTGTTTGCCAACAAATTCATTTACAGATTCCTGAAGAGTCGGGCACGTGAGAGCCCGAAGAGTACAACAAAGAGAGAAAGGGTTGAAGTATGAAATTCAAATGAAAAACAGAGAGAGGATTTACGTAACAAGTTGCGCTGCTGCTGTGTGTGCGAGCCCATAAGAGCTATAGAGAGAGAGAGAGATTTCACTCTGTAGCAAACGAGAAGAATCACTCGGTTACCTATATGTACTCGCGAGCGTGTGTATATAACATCGGATTCTCTCTCTCTCTCGCCCCGAAAGTTGCGCAACTATATACGTACACACACACACACAACAATTCGCGAGGGGGTGAGCTCGACTCTTATTCGGCAGAGTAAGCTGCATACACGGGGGGTCACACAGGGTAGAGGGTGTGCAGTGCAGAAACTATTGTATCATTTCACTTGGCGCTGCCGAGAGTATATACGTATACATATACAGGTGACATTCGAGAGAACAAAAGCTTTACGCGCGCGTCGGTGTATGTTATATATACACGTAGCTGAGCTGGCTCGCGCGTTTATACATTGTCCTGTATATAACATGTCCCTACCGCACATACGATGATGCTGCTACTGATTCCTTTACACAGATATAGCTTTTCGCAGCTGAAATGCTTTCTCTCTCTCTCGGCGCCGGTAACACACGTACATATATATACATGCACTCGCGAGCTTTTGTGTATCGTCGCCCCCGGAGATGAAATTTAAGAAGTTCGCCGCACTATATACGCGACAGAAAGGAGAACGTGACTTTTTCGTAAGTGTGTACGCGTGTATTCCGCGTGGAAGGCTTTTAGCGCGGCTCAGTGGGTTATCCTTGCGGGTCCGTATTATTCGCCTACTATATCGTTTCTCAAGGATTTTCTCGTCATTTTACGAATTATTAGTAGTAATTACGGCTCTGTTAGACAAAAGCGCAAAGTTGAAAGTCAAAATTGCGTCCTCCGGACATTAATGGGCTTATACTTTTATTTGAACCCAGAAATTTTTTCTAAATTTCTTCCAAAGCTCTCGTAATTGTTTTTTTCCTTTTCTTCGTACTTTTATCAACTCGAAATCCCGTAGATCTTAGACTCAGATCCTTAGACTTTTTTACTATATTATTCGTAAATAAAGCTGAAATAAAATTAATAAACGAGAAATAATAACGAAGCGAATTAATTCAATAATCGTCCAATCTATTCATTTGAATCATACAGAAAATCTACAATATTTAATAAAGTCACATAATGAAATAAAAAAAAATCTGAAGCAGCCGCTCGTTGTTGGTTTCACAGCGTGTCTCAATCAACCGACAGCCTCGCCATTTTGCAACTAATAGTATCCTCGGGTACAATATCGGTCGGAGTCGAACCGTCGTCGTATTTCCGCAGCAAGTCGGCCACTTGCTTGTATCCAGTCCGCAGAGCCAAGCCCAACGGCGTGTCACCCTTGTCGTCGCGAGCATTGACTCGCAGCGGCTTGTACTCCTTCCAGCAGAGGCCGTCCATCATCTTGGCCAAGAACCAATCGTAGCCTAATTCCCCGCAGATGACGTGCAGCGCGCTTCGTCCCCGCGCGTCGGCCAGATTCGGATCGGCCCCGCGTTTCAGCAGCAGATTCAGCACGTTCCGGCGCTCGCCCAGTATGTCCGTCTGCAGGGCGAAGTGCAGCGCAGTGAGGCCCGAACCTCGCGACGCCCGGCAATTGGGATCGGCGCCCGCGTCCAGGTAACGCTCGACCATGTTGACGCGGCCGAGCCGGCAGGCCGCGTGAAAATGCGTCAGTCCGTCGTCGTCGACGTAGTTCGCGTCGTACCTCGGGTAGAGCTCGAACAGCCCGGGAACGGTCTCGTTGATGATGAGACAGCGGAAGAAGCGACGATCGCAGCGGAGCGCCTCGTGCAGGGCAGTGCCGCGACGCGTCACCGGCCGGCCCTCGGCGTCCAGCTCGGGCTCGGCCACGTAGCCGCTGCGGATCGCGTACCAGATGAAGTACGACACGCCGGGCTCGCACGGATTGTAGACCAAGCGTTTCTCTTCGGTCCGGTCCCACAGTATGTGGTACAGCTTCAACGCGTTCACGAGCAGGCGGTCGATTTGTTCGGGTCGAAAAATTTTCTCGAGCTCCGGGGCGTCCATCCATTCTTTCAGCAGTACGCGAATGTTGCCAAAAAGCGTCAGTCCCTCTTCCAAGGTCTCGAAATCGCCGTTGTTTCGCGCGAGCTTCTGCAATTTTTCCAACTTAGACATTATTGTTCTGCCTAATCGCGCGCACGGAGCACAGACACTATGATTATATAGAAAAATTTTCTTTTTTTAGTTTCAATCACTCGCTGCCGTCGTCGATGTAGTCACTCGCGAGTCGTTCGAGCTGTTGCGGCCTTGTAACGTGTACCACTAGTAAACACGAGCCGATTGTTCACGTTTCGTAATGATAAATATTAGGAATTATATTAGTGGGTCCGAATGTGTAAAATTCGGAACGTTTGAAAATCGGAATATTGAAAGCGAAAAATTATATCAAATTTGATGGTCTAAATTTTCCACTCATTTTTCTGTGGATTCCGAATTTAAATTTTTTCGAAACTTTTTCACATTCCGTTTTCAATATTTAGATTTTTAAGAATTCCGTACATTTATAATTCCTAATATTTATCATCTGGAAATGTGAAAATGGCTCGGATTTATTTGACGTTTATTTAACTGATTATTAAATATTGCCAATTAAAATACTGCCAAGATAATATCTGTGATGATTATAATTATTTGTGCATTGATTCCTTAGAAGAAGTTTACATGTTTTGATTCTATTTTTTTTATAATTGTTCAATTATAACAAAAAAATTAATAATATATGATAAGAGTGTTCATAGTAAAAGAGACATATTAATTGATTCCATGTATTAATTAATTTATAGTAATGAGTTGGTAGTCGATTAGACGAATCATTGCAATATTTGCGTTGTAAAGGGTTCATTTTTGTGTGAATTTATTGATTTTAATTACATGAAAAATATACACATACATTCATCAACGCCAGACATTAAGAGTACTGCAAATACGCTCATTAGCTTTGACGTGCATCCGCCGAGTAAATATGATAGAAATCTTCGTTCATAAGCTTTTCAATGATCATACCAAAGACCTCGATGAGCAGCCTTTCACGAATGAACTTACAAAGAAAGAATCCAGCTAGGGTCCAACTCTGGAAAAATCCTCGTCGACAGTTTCTCGCCCGGATGCACGGTGCAAGTCTCTCGGTCCCCGTACGAAAGCCAGCATAGATGAAATTGCGCGAACTTGAAGTAGTCCAAATACGTGAAAGTCCGGCTTTACCATTATTTTTTCGTTCCGCTCGTAATTTTACCTCGTCGTCGTACCAAAATTTTTCAGATTCGTTTCGGTTGTATCGATGACGTGACAAAACAAGTGTATAAATTACGTTTGTGAAGTATTGAAAACGTTAAAGGATTTGACAATTTAACAATGAAAATAACTTTCATTCATAAATTTTCTTTACAGTTACTCATAAACAGATGATAGATAAATAAAATTTTTTACTCAGTCTTGAGTTGCTTAAGGAAAAAAGTGTCCGTTTTTTTTACTGGAAATTGTTCAAATTTGTAGAAAAAAAAAATACTTCGAAAGTATCTAGTGGTATCTTGGGAGCTGCTCGGCTAGTGAACCTTCAAGTGTAACAGCCACCAAAACTCCGAGAGCAAAATGGTTATCAAGGTGAAAAATAGTTAAAGATGACTGAAGATGACTAAATATTGTAAAAAAAAATTCATTGTTCAAGTTATTAATATTTTTAATACTTAAGTCATTATGTATCGTTACATCAGCAATATTCATAAAATAACGAAATGAACATCTATCCTCTAAAATTTTTCACAATAGTCGTATAATTAATTCTAAAAATATACACGTTTTATTTGAGAGGACAAGGTGGAGTTTTGAGATGATAATTTAATTATTTAAATACCATCACGATATCATTTAAACATCAGCCCGAAACACCATCCCGTCCCCTTGAGACATTTATTTCTAATTAATCGGTCACTTCTTTGTCCTTGTAAAATGCCCAAAGGCCCAGAATGATCAAGAAAACAATCACGGATGGAAAAACGACCTGTAAGTAATATTTTTCATCAAGGTCAAGAAGGAACCTGATGCAAAGCGACGTCGAACAAAATATGAACACAGCCCAACTTAAGTATAAAAACGTGTAGTACTGTTTGAGGCAAAAATTAACTCATTAAAATAATAATAATTCTTGAACAAAATAGTATTGAACCATCGTTTGTATAACTTACGCAAGGTTTTGGAAATCCAACATAGTCTCGGTCGGGAGACTCGGATGCCTGTCGGGGAGCCTGTCGGGGGGCCTGTCGGGGGGCCATCACCTCCTCGTAAGACGGCAAGTATCCTTCCTCCTGCTCGTAAGTCGGCAAACCATCGTTGTCTCCTTGCGGCCTCTCTTGACCCGGAAGAAATCTCGGCTCTCGATGGATTTCGCCTCTACCTCTGCCTCTGCCTCGGCCTGTGTTGTCCATTTCTGGCGAACTCGACATTCTGTACGAATATCAACTGCGCTCAATTTTTACTCTCCGTTGCCGGTGCAACTTGTCGACCGATCGGCGAATAGAAAATTCCGAAAATTACTTTAGGGATAGCGAGAGTAAATTTCACGTACGTACGTCATACGTGTGGTCGCTTTGAGTATAGCAGAGTGTACTGCCGAGGAAATGTTTACATTGTAAGTATATCCAGTGAAAAATTAGCGACAGAACCAAAATCGTCGTATTCGTTATAAACAATGAGAAATTAATAAAATTAATTTCTATGTTTATCCGTAAAGTTATTAAGTATCATTACATGAATAATATATGATAGAACGAAATTGAATGTTATTTAAAATAATCTGAAAATGTTACATTAGACATTCATTTCTATATAATCGGAATTAAAGATTTATGAAAATAAATCTGAAAGTTTAATATTAATTACAGCATTTTCCATGCACGAAAATAGGAATGATCAAATTTTCAGGAGCAAGCTCTTTGACAATGCATCGGCAGTACTTTTTTTCTTCATCTCGGAGATTAGCTCTGCCGTGTGCCGCGCGCAGACCTCGGGCTCCGCCATTCAGTTGTGCATCGTATTCCGTGGATATTTTTCCTCTATATACGCACGCGCCCATTGCCTTACATATACCCTTTTCTTATTTACAATGGAAAGTTTTCCCATTGAATTTATCCCATAGCCGTGGCGGCGGCCCCCGGAAAAGAATGGAGAGTGGCGCGCACGTACGTACACTAACGTATCGGCGGAATATAACGCGAGCGCGCGTTCACTTTTAAATTGAAAAAAAATCCAAGTTTTGTCGTGTGTACGCGACGACGACGACGACGCGATGAAGAAAGCAAAATTTTCCTAGCGGTCATCGAATGCGGACTTTTTCTTTAACTTGCTTTTTCGTGTAAACGGAACTGAAACTTGAAATTTCTTCACTTCTGTCGGAGAGAAAAATTAATCATCCGCTATACACGGAACGGAAAACTTGAAGTAAAAATCGAACGATGCAAAAAATTTAGTATATAAGGCGTGTTGAGCCATCAGCAATAAATACTCCACTGAGAGTGAAAGAGAGAGAGACTCTTAATGCGTCGAGGGATGAAAGGCACTTCTTCGAGTACATAACGCGGGAAAGCGAGCTAAGCTTCGAGTGTATGATTTTTGCTCTCGAGTTGCGTACTCCGCTGTTTTCCTATTATGTTTTTTGTTCATACGCACTGAATCGGGAGGGACATTTACTTTTATCTCGCCAACACTACTTTCGACATTACGAGTGACGTGTACCAAACATTACGATTTCTTTGACTTTGGCATAATTAAACTTTTGAAATTCAGATTGTGTATGCGTTTTTAAAAAATATACCGACTTATATAAAAGGAACGATGAACATACATTAACGATTGAATAATTTCTCAAACTTCCCGCTACGCATGATAAGCTCGTCGAGTTTGAATTTACGCATCAGCTAGCCTGGTTATAACCAGTGACCGCTGGAAACAGAAGTCAAGATTGTGTGTACATAGCGAAAACCCAAGACCCATATATATTTATCAAGTTTTACCCCACTTTTTCAGCCTTTTCAATTCTCTACTCCTTGTCTGTCTCGAAGTTGGCATTCGATCCTAATTCGTACGTTCCGTCTCGCAGGCAGGTCGACTATAACGAAGACCGTGAAAGGTACAGCGGCCCTAAGTGTAAGCTCGTCCAACAAGCAGTAAGTCGATTGCGCTATTTATCACGTATGCATTAATAAATTCGTTATCGTCGAACTCCATTCATACATCCGAAATTCTAATGATGCATAAGCAGATGTATATTCAGAGAGTGTTAATATTATGTATATCGGCGCCGAAATCGTGCGCTTCATTCATTTACGTGTAATTTACATTTCTGCGCGTACGTAAACATCAGCTCGTTCCGAACTCCGTATAATACGCAGTAGTTCGCTCTTTCGACGAATATACTACGCCAAGCTGCTTTGCATATATCGAAGTTTGATGCTGCTATCATCCTATTTCATGGCGAATTAAATAAACAATATAATACTCGAACCATTAAAAAAAATATATAAGCCCGGAAGCAGCATCCGCTCTCAGCGAAAGAGATCATCATAACCGATCATCGAAGCTCGCTTATATGCTCACGGCAAAGCTCGAGCAGCAGCAACCGCACATAGTAGTACAAAAGAATCGATATATATATAACTATATACCGTGCGCGTCGCCGTTTGTCCGCAAATAGATCAGTAACAGAACAGGCGAACGCGTGCGGGCGAGTGAAAGCTCGCTCCTCTCTCTCTCTCCTCTTTCTCACTCTTCCCTCTCGAGTAGCTGCAGCAGCTCTTTCGAAAGAGAGAAAGAGAGCACGAGCGAGAAAAACTAAAAGCGGCCGCCGCCGCCGCGTGTCTAACATATGGAACCCATGCTAGTAGCTGTGCCGCTGCAGCGGAGCTTGCAGCGCAAAGCACGCAGACATAAGACGCGCGTATCTTACCGACCGATCGCGGATATACATAAAAAGAAAAAAACGCGGATGATATAATCAAAAGTGCGGGTTAAACGAAGCAAAAAAAAAAAAACAGTGTGAATTTACTCGATGATAAACGAACGATGTCGCCTTGCAAGCTCTGGCCAGGATGGCAGGCGGCTCCTCTTCTTGGAGTGCTTTCGCTGCTGTGCCACTGCACGCACGCACTCGTGCGTTATTACGTTCTTCCGGTTGTACCCTCGCGTGTGTCGACCTGCGCGAGACCATGAGACTCTCGTGAGCAGCGGCGGTGCTGATTATTAGTCGATTGTATTATAAGTCGCAGTTATTATATAGGCGAGCAGCTGCCACAAGAGAGTAAGCAAACAATTTTCCATTCTTTTACTTTCTTCGCGAATATTTCTGCGCAACTCGAGCTGTATGGTAAAATTATGAGCGAGCATTGATTGTAGCCCTTTCGGAGCTCTCGCGCGTATGTATATATTCCTTGGGCCATTGCCCTCTGCGGAGCAGCTCGAGACTGGTACGCGCTATACAGAGCGTGTGTGTGTGTGTGGCGTGCGCCAACTAATGTCAATTTTCTTTTCGAGACATGGCACTTACGCCGCGCGCACACACGACACACAATAAGATTACCAGATCGTTAATTACATAGCTCTGGCCAGTAAGGCGCGGACGCGTTTACATGTAAATACGACGCGTTAAATAGCCTATAAATGACGCCGCGACTCGCCGATCGATCGTATGCTTTTTTATATGTAAATTGCACTCGATCTTTATTTCTTCCCGTGTGTGTGTAATCAAAGCCGATCCGTATCTTTTACCATTTTTTATGTCGTACGATCGGTGTTGAACGTGAAAAGGAGGAAGTGCATAACAGGTCGATGTTCGATCGGTTTCGAATTATGAATACTGTTGAAAATTCAAAAAGTTATATTTTTCGAGATTCTTTACGGTCTCTATTTATAAAGAGCAATAAAATCGATCCGTAACATAACTCGACGATGATATTGTTATAGCGGCTCATTATTGACGATAAACAAAGTTTCATATCGGTATAAATATATTCAAATTAAATAAATAACCGATACCGATCGACGGAAGTAAAATATTTCCATACGAGATCTAAAATAATACGTCGTAAAATCAATCGCGAATATCCGATTCAGAATAATCATCAAATTCGAGTCACCCACGAACTACGATACGTAAAAAGAGGTTTAGTTTCGATCGTAGTTGTTGCAAAAAAAAAAAAAAAAAAAGGAAAAAATAATAATAAGAAAAGAAGAAAAACCCGTACGAAGCGCGTGTACTTTGTGTCGAGGTCCGTATTTATAACTCGACAGCCGAAGCTCGGGGTAAGGCATTTCTTGCGCACGTGTTAAAAGCATCTCTCTCTCTCTCTCTTTCTCTGTGGGTTGTAAATTTGTCGGGTAATTGTGTTTTCGTCGTATGTAAGCATGCGTATATATATAGTACAAACACACGAGTATGTACGTACACGAGCGTCGCTGGTTAATAAAACTTTTTGATTACCAACGGTCTATTTTTGCCTCTCTCTCTCTCTTCTGTATGTGCGATTCTATCTCTAGAAAAGAATGGTCAAACCGCTACTGCTACTCGTCGTCGTCGGGTACGGCGCAGTACGCAGTGTTCGCAGACGACCGATAGAAATGCGACTCAAAGTGCCGTACACACATAGTAGGATTGTCTCGCGGTCGGAGCATGGGAATATCGAACTCGGGGGTTCGAGTATACACGCAATATTATTTCGTTGCTCTCCTTTCAAAAAAAAAAGGTAGCAAATATGACGCGTGATCTCCGTTCTTCTGGTGCATAACACGCATATTATAAACCGGTGGCTCGACGTGTATGCAACACGAGAAAATGACGAATAAGAACGAGCTTATAGGTATATACACAGGCAGGGGCAACCACACGCGCGTTAGCCCAGTTTTAAAATAAGATTTCGTTGTGTGTGTGTGTGTGTGCGTGCGAGCCTCGCATGTGCGTTTTTGCGAGAGATGACGATGTCGAATATATGCAGCGCGAGCAAGAGAGAGAGTCTCTGCGCGGCCAATGCGTATTATATTATCATTGTGGGATCGTGTGCGCGGGAGATTTTCGCTCTTTCGAGGAACAATGCGTGTAGCTTTAATAGCTCTACGCTGCAACGACGACGTAGTATCTCTGGCTAAGGTTGATCTTACGAATGAAAAGTAGCGTCGTTTGTTTGTATTTTTTTTAGTCATTTTCATGCGTACTAAACAATTAATACGCGGCCTCGTTGATTCGATAAGTTACGATAAATTCGTGATACCGTATCCAAGTTTTTTTTTGTACTCTCCGCGAGCATAAATAACAAAAAAGAAATGAAAAGAAAACAATAAGAAAAAGAAATTCAGCCGAGTCGACGAAAAACGAACTCACACACACACACACACACACAAATATCTCAAATGGTACATCCGCACAAAATTGTACACGTTGCCGCGTGTAGGTACTACTACTGCAAGTACACAGCAGAGAGTAAGCTCGGAGTTATAACGTAAGCTCTGCCGCGTCGCCATGAATGACCTTATCGCGCGCTGCCATGTACCTACATGTGGCATATCTCTCTCTCTCTGTCTGTCTCGTGGGACACGCTCGCGAAAATTGATCCGAGCCGCGCATCAACGCCGAATCTCCGTCTCTTATACACACCAACCTTATACACGTGTGTGTGTATGCGATACGTTCAGCCAAGTACTGCTACGAGTCAGTGAACTGGCGCCTTTAGCTGCTGCTGTGTACGATAGCGTAGTGTAGTACGGCGCGCGCACGAGTGCGGTTCCTGCTGCTGCTACGTCACGCGCGTTTCTCCCATAGAGAAAAGCACACGGCGCGCGAGGGAGAGCTTTTTGCCCTTCCCCCCTCTCACTCGCTCTCTCTACTTCCTTTTTTTTTTTGTTTTTTTAATGGACTTATAAACAATCAGCCGCGAATGACGTAAGTGCAGGTACGCGGGGCTCTCGTGTGTGATACATGTACCGCGGGCCATTGTGTGTTTTATCCGTGCGTGTGCGGAGTGATACGCGGACAGGGCAGTTGTGCAGCAGCCGAAAGCTCGATGAGGTTAGATACGCGCAAGCTCTGAACTTTCGACTGTCTAGTGCCTACTACTGCAGCGTTCTCATTATGTCATGGCTTCGATCGAACAACGTTTCACGGTTGTTATTCTTGTTTTTTTTTTGTTTTTGTTTCTTTTCTAACGCTCTCGTAAACTATTATCGAGGATGGGAGACGTCTGTGCGGCAAGTTGGTGCGATGACATTATCTCGCTTTTAAAAATAGGTGTGTATTAGAGAGAGAGAGAGAGAAAAGTCTGACTTTTCACATGTGTATTGGCACGTTTGTTTGATCTAGCCTAATGATTTTTAAAACCCCCCCGTCTGTCAAATTTAATCCGAACGTATAAACAAGCCATCAATATAGCGGCGTGACTTTGAGAAAAATCGAATATATTAAATGGAAATTGATCGATCGGAAACCACCAAAAAAAAAAGATGAGTAAATAAATTATGATGTGGGTTGGACAATTTTTTTGTTTATATTCTTTATAGCTCGAAAAAAGCTTAAAATGTTATTTATGCCAAAATATTTATCTCGAGTTCGACGACGAAACAACGTTACGATTTAATTCGAATGAAAAATTGTTATTGATGATCTTTCCCCGATTGATTTTGAAACGACCCACATTACCTCATCGTAAACAAAACATTCTACCATATTACTTCAACGATTTTCTCAGCTCATACGAATAACAAGTAATCAGTAACTGTATTCCGCTACTCTCTGTTTCAGCTCTCGCAGGCTCGACTGCTCGCGATAGATAGCTCAATTTCGAGGAACGAATTTCAAATTTTTTTTATATAATCATCATCATCGTCGTCATCATGGCAAGCGGCTCAGTAACCGGTGGCGGTTTTTTACCCTGCGTAATTTTACCCTGCGATCTCCCATGGTGGTGGACGGAGATCGTGCCGCAGCTGGAGAAGGCCCGAGACGCCGAGACGACCAAGGAGCTGATCGACGCGATGCAGCGGCTCATTCATACCTGCAAGTGAGTCGATTATCATCACCTACTTACCATTATTATCATATAAATGTATTATAAAGCGCCGCAAATTTGACTAAACGTTTTTCTCGCTCGGGGGTGAGAAGCGATCGTATAACATTGTCTAATATACATTGGGCTCGTCGCGGTCTATTAATAAAGAGGCGCGTGGCGTAGCTTTTTCTCGTGTAGAGTTCCTTGTGCGAGCAAAAGCCGGGTGGCGGAGAGTGAGAGGTAGATATTAGCAGCGTGACTCATCGCCGCGTAAATATTATTAGAACGTCTAATCGTGCCTACCTACCTACCTGTGCCACGACCTGTTCCACATGACTTTCTTTCTCACACTTCGTGCTGTCTATTTTTAAATTTTTCAATTCATTTCTCGCGTTTGTGTATAATCGTGTATTGTTATAGACGCGACGCGCGCGTGAAAGTGTGCCTACTACACCAGCGCAAACTACAAAGCAACAGGCGGCGAAGTCGATCGAGCTTTCTTCTCTCCCACTGCAGCAGCTCTTTAATATTATGCAGCTTATGCTAAATCCGGCCGCGTGATCTCACAGCGCAGCGAGTCGGCCCGATATAAATCTATTCTCGGTCGCTTTATAATGTCGTATATGCTTCCTTTGGAGCCGACTCGTGGTGGTGGTGTTTTCGACCTTCGGCAAGGTTCGTCGCACTCGACGACGACTCCACGCGCTAATCATACGAATGCCCAATGATACGTCTTAACTATTTCTTTTCTTTTTTTTTTCTTTGTTATCCTCCATCGCAGCGTCAGTATCGACGCGATTCCGCCGAGGAGGGATCCCCTCGCGCTGAGCACCCTGAGGCGCTGGCTCGACGAGCATCTCGACCCGGCGGAATTTCAGCACTACTTCAAGAGGACGATACCGAGGATAGCCCAGTGGGCCATCGATCTCAAGATCCACAAGCCCACGGGCGGCTTGTGCTTCAGTCTACAGCAGTTTGGTACTTGCACTTGAGATCAACATTATTATCATACGTTATAATAATTTGATGTATTTTTTCATTTGTATTATCATTGATTTTTGTACACAGAGGGCGAGACAGAACATTCCTACAAATTCATCGCATCGCTCGTGGCGAACGCCTTTTTTTCCACTTACGCCATGAGAACGCCCACGTCTCATCCCTCGCTGCGCGACTTCAATTTCACCGGCTTCTTCAAGCATCTGCTCTTGTAAGCTCCAACGATGCAATGCACCATTATTCAAATAATTATACCAATCGTTTTTTTTTTCTTCGTCGCACAGACCCAGTCAACAAGCCAAACTGCGCTGCCTCTTCCGATATTTCGACTATCTCGATGAGCCGGGCGCCACCGAGGGCAAAATCCTCATCTCGCGCCAGGTGCTCAAGTCCGAGAACTGGCTGACGATCGAGGACTGGGCCGAGTCCAAAGTGCCTCTCTGCGATCTGACCATTAAGTACGACGGCCGCATGGAGGACAGCGAGATCGAGTACTGCAGCAAACAAAAGCAGCAGAAGAAGAAGAAGAAGAGCAGTCCGCCGGCGCCGGTGCAGGTCTGCTTCGCCTCCAAGCACGTGGGCTCGCGCGTGCTCCAGGAGGGCTGCAATCAAGAGTGTATACAAGTAAGTAAGTACCCAGGCGCGGTATATACGAGTACTCGAATCATTCATTTTTTTTTTCTGTTTTTTTCTCACCTGTAGTTCATCACCCACCCCGAGCTCTTGCCGATCCTGCTGATGTTCGAGTCGCTGGAGGACAACGAGGCGCTGATCGTCAAGGGCGCACGTTTCATCGGCACCATCAGCGATCCCAAGAGTTCCTCCGGACGATTCGTGCCTTGCGACGATCCCCAACCCGTGACGATGTGCTGCATCGATCCGGACGACTTCTCGACCGAGCCGTACCTGCAGTACCTGGACTTTAACATCCTGCGCGAGCTCAACAAGTCGATGCTGGGCTTCAGGCAGCGCCGGCCGCCCGTCGAGAAGAAGACGGCCAGCGCTCAGCCGGCCCCTGCGGTTCCGAGTAACAATAATAATGGCAACTTGGAGGCCACGACGGCGACGCACAATATCAGCAGGCTGTCGCCGATCGGCGAGCAGTCCAGCGCCCAGTCGACGCCGTCCAAGAAGGACATAGTCAACAGCAAGCCCGCCGATAAGGACGAGAAGGAAATCAGCAAGGAGAACGCGCAGGATGGCAAAGACAGAGCTGCGGCAGCAGAGCGGGAAAATAATATTAAAAATAGCGATAACGGTCGAGAGAAGGAGAAGGAGAAGGAGGAGGAGGTGGAGGAGGAGGAGAGCAGCGGCAACGGCTTCAGCCTGCTGAAGGCCAAGCGACGGGCCTTCATCGTTCTGCACTCGAGCCGAGAGAAGCTGCCGATCAGGAGAAAGTCGTGGGCGGACGCCGCGTGCAGCACCAGCACCGTCAACAGCAGCGCCAGTCTCAGCACCGAGAGCTTTCACAGCGCCAAGGAAAATCTCTGTGAGTGCTTGATTTTTTTACCCCTCTCTTAGACTCGAGTACCTATAACAATTGATCGTAAACTGTTCCCCGGTAGCCTCGGCGACCTCGAGCAAATCGTCGTTCGACACGGACTCGAGCTGCAGCGATCATCATCAGGCCGGCGGCGGCGCGCCCAACGGCCACGAGACCCGCGTCAGACGCAAGAGTTTCGCCCAGAGGCTGCAGTCCGCCGTGGAGCGCGAGGAGAAGGCCATCCGTAGCAACGGCGACTCGGTCTCGTTGCCCGCCCATCCGGACGACTTGCAGCAGCCGCAGCCGCTTCCCGACGCCGCTGGCGACGGCGACAGTGGTGTAAGGCCAGTGGCGGCAGCAGCAGCAGCAGCTCGGCCGCTGCAGATGGTGGCTCATCGAGCCTACATATCGGAGGACCGAGGCGAGGAGGACGGTAGGACGCTGCAGAGGAGACTGTCGACCGGTTTTCATCTGATGGACGGGCCCGAGAGCGACGAGATGCTGCGCAGAAGCTTCGAGGATCTCCGAGGATTCGGCCAGGGTGAGTAGTGAGAGGTGAAGCAGTTGAGATTGACTCTGTATCATAATCGTATGGGACTTTGTGCAACAGAATTCCAGGAAGAGGCCAAGGAGGTGCTCACGCACGCGATCGAGACGTGGAAGAGGAAGATGTCGGCGCCTGCGACGACGACGACGACGACGCGCGAGGTGGTCCCGGCCTGCAACGATATCGGCTGCGATCAACAGGTCTTCGATTTGACCCATCGGCTGTTGAAGCGAGCGCTGAGCGAGCCCCAGGCGGACACGACCAAGGCTGCTGCGGCCGAACGGCAGCAGCCAAAGGGTGAGAAGGAGGAGGAGGATGACGACGTCCAGCACAGGTACAAGTTCCTGCTGACGATCAAGAGCTTGAGCCTCGAGATGGCCCGCAGAAGGTCCAGCGTCGACAGCAATTTCACCAGCAGATCGGTAAGTGATATCGGCAATTGCGCGCGTTTTCGATCCGATCGTCAAGGATAAATATATATTCAGGCCCGACACGGAACGAGAGACGGCCTTTTGCGCGCGTTCGATCGTTAAATAATCCTATATATAATAGCTTCCGATCGGTAAATCGTTAAAATAATATAGGCTTGAAATAAAAGAAAAAAAAAAGATACGAGCGGCAGCGATTCATATGATATACCGCACGCACATGATATATAGATGGAGAACGGAAACGATCATTATTGCGCTTACGCGACGAATAACAATAATCACCCGAAGCAACACGACCTGAACGAGCTGCTGATCGACGACTCGATCGACGACTACGGCAGCGATCATCAATTGGTCAAAAATGGAGGTGATTGCGGTGGCCCACGTAGCTGCATGAAGCCGTACGTGAGGCAGAGATCGCGCAACAGGCTCAAAGCCGTGGCCTTCACCTCGGAGGTCTATCAGACGCTGTTCGAGGACGAGACGACGGTCGCGTTGCCGGTCACTGCACCTACTGCACCGTCGGTGGTGGTAGCCTGCAATGGTGGCGGTGCTGCCAATGGCCATGAGACTTACACCGGTCTAAAGGTGACGACCATATAAGTCGACGCAGCTATATATCCCCCCGTGTTGCGCTTTATTCCTTGAACTAACTCGCTGCTAAAAAGTAAAGCCAATCGATCAGCTTTATAAACCTCATAAACGAGTGTGTGTGTGTACCATTTGTAAATACTAACGTCAATTACATATACCCAAGTGCAGCAGCTCTTTTTGCTGTCTCTCGTTCTGTTTTAACTCAAACGCGTGTATATTTACCTGCGAATTTACTCTGTGTGTTTGCGTGTTGGTTGACTATGACTTATTGCAATCGATTGTACCATGCCTCGATCCATCTTGCAGATATCTCGAGAGACCAGTCCGGGTAACGACGAGGACGCCGCCGCCGCCGCGTTACTGCCCGTGGTGACCGGTAACTGGGGCTGCGGAAGGAGATACCGGGGCGAGCACCAGCTCAAGCTCTTCGTCCAGTGGATGTCGGCCTCGATGGCCGGCGTGCCCAGACTCGTCTACTACACCCGAGGACGCGAGGAGCTGGCCAATGTAAGGGTTTAAGAGTTTACGTTAATTTGATAATTAATTTTAATTTTTTTCTTTTTTTTTTTCATGTACAGCTCGAGCACATCAAGCGAACGCTCGCCGAGCGCGGGTGCACAGTGGGCGATCTGGTGGCCGAGGCGCGCCGCTACGCCGAGTCGGTGCTTCGCGAGGCCCAGCAGTCGGTCCATGGCGCTGGCGATCAGCCCCCCGAGGCGCGACTCGACGAGGTCCGTTCGTCGTCCCGCTTGATCAGCTCGTTGTTCGAGGGGACCATCGAGAACGCGCGGCGTCGTTTTTAGGACGTCGACGACGATGATATGAACCGACGACGATTTCAAAAAAAGACTTGATTATCGCCAATTTTTTATACATAATAAAAAAAAAAAAGATTGCACGGACTGATGCTGTGAAACTTCATATAGACTCGAATATCTATAGTCGCTCGAAGCTATAGATAGCAATAAATAAATAAAAAAAGATTCCGATCTTCGTTGAAACAATTGTGCGAAAATTTACGCAACGATCGACAAGAATTCATCTGTTTTCTATTGTTCTGTGGAGATCGATCTAGATGCCTATCATATATCTATAGAGATTATATTTACTGACGAAACAAAATATTTACGAATCATTACTGTATCAAAATAGAAAGACGAGAAATAGGTAAACTTTGTGCCACATTTATCAGCCTAGAGCCAACGTTGTGTGTAAATAAAAATATTATTTTTAGTAATTAAAAATAACGATAAATAATGATGCATTTCGTTATCGTAGCAAATACAACAAGAAATCATATCGACTCGATTCTATTTCAATCAAGTGCGTTTTTTGTTTTATTTTACAAAATTTACTTACAATTTTTCAACAAACAAAGTCTGACGCATCATTGTTATTATATCTATAATCGTTCGTATAATACACGATAAAGTAAAAATCCGTTCGATGTGATATTTACTGTGCCCAGCCACGCACTCTCTGCGTCGAATGCACGCGATGATGCGCACATTTATTTACAGTCGTAAGCGACAAAATAAATGATATTATCTACATCATTAAGGATTTCACGAATAATAGTACGTGATGTACAGTACCTAAAATAGAACGTTAACGATACACAGTGAATTGATAGTGCCCCTCCTCATGAGATAGCAATTTGTAACGTAAGCCTTGAGCGATTTTTTCGAAAATCAACATTTTTCATGTTTTTAACGTCGGTCGCCGTATAGCACGGTGAACTTCATGGACTTAATACTTTGTATATATATATAGTTGTAAATCTAAGACGTAGACTATAAGAAACCTTACTAAAATTTTCAAAATGTAAAGATTTTCAATCATTCAAGATTCTAATCAAAACAAATAAATCACTGTATATATGGCTTGAGACAAAACCCTTAGAAAACGAATCGAAAGTAAGGGACGAATATTACATATTACATATGTTTTAATAAAACTGACTTACACAGAAAATGAATGATAATTTAGGAGATTAGCATTCTGGCCTCTCAGAATCATTGTCAAAACGAGATCGTGCCAATTAGAAATAATAATAAAGTCTTCCAGAAAATAATATTTACACAATATATCAAAAGATAAAAAATGTGCATGAAAGTAATGTACATTAATTTTATTGAAAATATTTTGCACAGTACGTACATAACAAGTTGTGGTAAAAAATGACAAATTATATAAATTACCGTGATTTGAAAAACCTTATTGTATGGTAAAGAATTTTTTATCGTCAAAGAATAAATTTTGACGATATCTATGCAATAATTGTTTTGCGATGTTATTGAACAGTGAATAAAATTACAGCAATTCTACAGTTAAATGCAATCTTCATCTTTAATAAATCAATAGTGGAAGATATGATTTTATATCAATTGTGATAAATCGTCAGAGCAATATTTTTATTGTTAAGTGATCTACACTCAAAATGAAAAAGTCATTAACCAGTAAATCACAGCTTTTATTGATTATCACATAGCAGTGTTCATCTGATTTTGCAAAACCGTATTTATCTTCCATTAGGAAATAAATTTTAATAAAAGATTGAAAGTAAATACAAAAATTTTCTCCAAATCGAATGACCAGCTTTGTGGAAGTTATCATTCATCATTTTTACGCTAAATAAAGCAAAAACTCCTTGTTTCAAGGAATACCATAAAAATTTGTTTAAATTCTATTTATGTAAAATAGTAGCAATAAAGTAAAATTAACATTTGGAAAAATAAACTAAACTTTACATGACGCTATCAGAAGAAAAGACTCCGAAAACGACGTCTAGGTCCTGATCTCTCGTGCAATACATTGAACTTTTGCACAAATTGGTGTGTATCGTTACAGCCTTTGGTTATGATTCCGAGGTATGTCATAAGACCAAAATCATTACATTGCTGAAAAAATTTTTTATTTAATTTTCATAATTTTGAGTATAATAAAATATTAATCAATGAATTTGTCCATACTATAGTATTTACTCACATTGTAAAAGTCTGCTTTAAATTTAGGATTATTCAAGACTGGTAATCTATGACTCAGTGAACATGCAGCTCTTAGAACTTCATGATTTCCTTGTAGCTCACCACTTTTTACGGCTTGGACATACTTTAAAACCAATTTAACTCTTGAGTGTAACATTTTAATTGCGCTATGTTGTGCCACTAAATGCTCTGCCACTAAAACATATTTATGAAAATTATTTAAATACTAATAGAGATTGTTGATAAAAATATCAAATTATATACCTAGTGAGCTTTCTGCTTGATCATTCGTGCACATTCTAGCAACGTGGTCAACTCCAATTCTTTCAGCTTCTTCTGTAGCTAAAGTGTATGTTAATGGTACAAACAACATAGTAGCTTCACCATTTACTAAATCAATAACTGATTCGAATATAGATACAGGTAATTGCTGAAATAAATAACAAAATTTTGAACACAATTCAACTCGTAACAATATTAAAACTACGAACATTACTTACATCATTATTTTTTGCTCTAGGATCTAGTTTTAACATGACTGGACTTTCATTTATTTCACAGATCTGCTTGTGTACTTTGATGTCTCTTTCTGTTGGCATATTACCAGTAGTATACCATCCGAGAAAATCCATTTCACTAAAAACTTGTTTAAATTGCTCTTCTTTTGTATTATAGTAATCTCTATCAATAACAACATTATCTTCGATAACATTAAATAATAATTCAAACGAATTCATAATTTCAATATTGCGTCCTTTCTGTTTTCCAATGAGAGCTCCATAAACTAAAAGAGAAAATATGTCATTGTTAGACCCAACAAAACCCAAGCGAAGCCCGAATTTGAAAAAATTGACTTACCAAGCTGGTCGCTACCCTCCTGGGCTCTGAGCCTAGTCCAGTGTTCGCTGACATTCATGATAACAAGGGGATGAAGGCTGATGGAGACCGAGCCCACGGTGCCGGACGATGCCATGACGCGGGCATTGCTGTTGACACCCGAGAGCTCGGTGTTGTAGCTGCCACCACTGGTGCCGGCGAAGGCCTCGGGTTGCTGCGCGATGTCCATCGTCGTGGTCTCGGCACTGGACGCGCCGTTGTTCGCGTCGTCCACTTCCATTTCACTGGGTTGCTGTCTCTCGTCGCTCATTCTCGGACGTTTATGTCTCGTTGTGCTGTCTATACTAAATCTAGGTTATGACGAGCGAATTTTCGCTAAAAAAAAGGAATAAATAACACAAAAAAGCGACGTCCAAAACGGCGAAAGGTACGAACGAAGACTTGCGCGACTCGTCAACTTCGAAAGATGCGATCGACGACGAATCTCATCTGGTGAGAAAAAAAAACTTGATACTATGCCGTGCGGAGAGATTGAAGCAAAGATGATTGCAAACAGAAATACCGCAAGTAGCGACGAGCATAAAACTGCTTACTGCGCTGATATTCGAGGGGTTTCGTTACAATGGTATGCGAGTGAATTGACAGGCATTTGTTTATGGGCCGGACATTGTAGAACTGGCTCGTTCCCCTTCCAGATGCTCTGAAAGCTGACGTGAGTATTATACATTTTAGGAATTAGGTATTGGTAAATACCGAAGTAGGAAAAGTAAAAAATAAGCTTACGGACTCTGTTTTAAAGGAGACGATATTCCGATGATTTTTAGTTTTTCAAAAAAATATGAAAATGTAGACAATAAATATGAGTACATTCTGTGCATTGAGTTTGCAATATTAAATGACATATATAATTAAATTTCTTTCTTAATAATTTATGCTACAAAAGTATATGGTATATTTAATAAATTAATTCTTTTTATAATAATCATTTCATTAACTTTGAATCATTATTGAGTACAGTTCAATAAAACAATTGATGAATATTATAATGAAATATGTTTCAATCAGGCAATTGATATTTTTTCAAGAACATGAAGTTTTCCTATTGGTTTAAAAACCATAAAAATCGATACTTTTTTTGCCGATTTTTTTTAAAAACAATCGATCAAACTAAACGCCAAATAATTTATTAAAGTACCAATTATAAGAAATAATTATCAAATTTAATTTCCTTAGAATTCCAAAGTTACATAAAACTTTGAAATTATTTATAAAGAAAGGGACAAAATGCATTTTTTCTCGCTAAAAAATGTTTGTTTAGCAATCACGCGCACGTTTCATAATCTGTAACAATCGATTATCTGGATATTTTTCGAAAAATACGATTATTATTTATTTAATAGATTTATCACATGTTCACCTATCACTTTTTCTTAAGAGAAAGGGAAAATGAGAACGCATTCTTTGGAAAGTGGGAGAAATCAGTGCAATTTCCCGGCAATCAGTTTGCCTGCATAAGTGATTTGCGCCCATTCCAATCACATATTGCCTTTACCTTTGATTATATTCAAGAATTTTATGTAACTAGAAAGACAACTGAAAGAGACATCTGTCAATGCAAGTGAATTTAATGACATTTTTTCTGAACTATAAAATAATTTTTAATTTTCTTCTTACAGTGAAAAAATAGTGAAAATGGATCTTGATAATATTTTGTCATTGAGTATATCTCCAGAAGTGCCCATTAGATACATGAATTATCATGGCATGTTTGTACCTGATTCTTATCAATTGATTGCTGATTCTATAGAAAATTTTCAAATAAGAGATGATGACGTTTGGGTTTGCAGTTTTCCCAAAGCAGGTATTGTCTATAGCTTTAATAAAACAAATGGTTATCATAAATCTCTAACAACAAAATTATAATAATTGTTATTTAAATTATTTCAGGAACTACTTGGACTCAGGAAATGGTTTGGAATATTGGAAACAACTTTGATCCGAATATGGCTAAAACCCCATTACCTATTAAATTTCCATTTGTAGAGTGAGCATAAAAAATGATTTACTAACAAAATTAATTCTTTAAAATAATTTTATTCAAGACAAAAGGTATGCATAGATTTACAGGAACTACAACGACAGGTTGGATATCGCTAAATAAAGCAGATTCAACTTTTCCTGATCATATGTCAAAAAGTGTCGAATATGCTGCTAATTTGCCAAGCCCAAGATTTCTCAAAACACACTTACCATTCAACTTACTACCTAAGCAATTGCGCACCAGAGAAAAGAAATCTAAAATGATATATGTAGCTAGAAATCCAAAAGATGTCTGCATTTCATATTACCATCATTACAAGTTACTCGAAGGTTATTGCAGTACGTTTGAGAATTTCAGTAAATTATTTTTAGGAGATAAAGGTAAGTCATAATCAACTTGAATTATAACAATGTTCAGTTGACATTTATTTAATTTGGAATGCTATGGAAAAGAAATAGTTCAAGTCGTAATTTTAACTTAAAATAGTAGTATTTATTGTTAATAACATTGTGCACACTCAGATATTTTAGTTTCATGACAATAGTAGCAATCGGATCAAACAAATTTCATAGCAATTAATTTTAGTCATGCTTCTGGACATGTGATTTATCATTCGTGTGTGCTATTTCATAATACGCCTTAAAATACAATCATTTTTATGACCGTGCAAGTGTCGATCAGCTGATCAAATTTATACACATACAATTGCTATAACATATGATAAATAATATAAAGATTCTTTGAATATTGATTATTCTCAACGTACAATTATCAATGGACTCCACCACGCACGCAATTCTTTTTAAGCCTCGATAACGTAGTTTTTGTGAAGAGCTGGCTGAATGTTGTAAATAAGGTCGAGTAGCTGGAGCATCACCTTCTCCTTGTTGTTGGCCACTTGTTTGTTCATGTCCTCGATTTTGGACTTGGTGTCGGCGTCGATCTTTGCGGCCACATCCTCCTTCGATCCCATGTGCTTGTTCTCGAAGTCGCGGAACTGCTTGTCGCGCTCCTGCCTGTACTTCTCGATCTCGTCTTGGGCCTCCTCCTTGGCCTGCTTCAGCCTGCGCGCTTTGCGCTTCCTCGCGTCGGAGACCTTCTCCGCGGCCCTCTTCTCGGCCGCCAACAGTTGCTGGATACCTTGCGTCTGGCTGGCCATTTTAATTGTTGTTTTTTTTTCACAATGTTAAAACTCTACCGAACTCGTAGAAGACTAGAGCAACAATGTTACTGTAGTGTGTCTCGTCACTGCTGCTGCTGTGCGCGTCTAATCGATCGATCATATGATTTTTCCGAGCTTGTATACGCGAAGTTGACTTATCGTCGCAGTCGGTGGGGGACGGGAGTGTCGCTGTCACGTGCACAACTCGAGACTTGCGCCGTACTTCAGTGCGCCGAGTGCGCGCGCGACTTTGGACTTTTGATTTGACTTGTTTATGTATATATTTGTTATCGTCGGTCGAGAGTCGAGAGACGATCGAGCTTTACCTGAAGTGCGTAGCAGGTGCTGCACGCGTATGGCAATTCGAATCGAAATTTACGCGCTTCCACTATTTTCATTCTTAGCGATAAGATATCCATTTGATGAGAAAAGCTAATGGTCGTTTTAATGGTTTATTATAGTTTACTATGCACCATTTTGGGACCACGTAATCAGCTACTGGGATAACAAGGAAAACAATGACATTTTATTTCTCACCTACGAAGATATGAAAAAAGTAAATAGTCGCCGAGCTTAAAGTCGATGTGCGTTTGGAAAACAATTGTAACGCTTTTCATTTCAGGATCTCGGCTCGGTGATAAAGCAAACGGCGGCTTTCTTGAACAAGTCGCCCATGAGTCCGGAACAATTGCGCAGACTGAAGGAGCATTTGAGCTTCGACAGCATGAAAAAGAATCCAGCCGCCAATTACGAGAACGCTGCCGAGTCGATAAATGCGTCCAAGATTTTCGGCGAAAATTTCAAGGCCGAAGGCGTGTTCATTCGCAAAGGCGAGTACGGACAATGGAAAAGTTTTATGAGCCCGGAGCTTATCGAGAGATTCGACGAATGGACAAAATTGAAGCTCGAAAATCATCGAGATTTATTCGACAGAATGAATCAAATATAAGTGCTTTTATTTAACAGAGTCATATCGATCAAAAACCAGGCTATTATTATTCTTTATTCTAGTATAAAATTACCCCATTGAAGTACCTCGTTGAAAAGTTTAATCCCTTTTTATTGCAATACAAGAATGTATATTTTGATAAAAAACTGCAACGATTATTGATGCAAGATTGATTTTTGTTATAACATTAAAGATAAATAGTTAGAAGAAGCTATGAATGAAAATAATATACAATCATGTAGTATATAAAAAGTTGTATACAAATTTATTAAATAAATATTATTTTTGAAAACACTCAAAATGTATTTTCTCTATACACATATGTACAAAAATTTACTCCCATAGTTATAATAATAGACAAATTGTAAAAATAGACTGATTGGTATAATTATTTATCATGTACATACAAACAAAAAAACTGTTTTTTACATTTTTACTAGTTTTGGAATTAGAATGGGAGTTTAAATTTCAAAGCAATGATCTCTATAGATTACATTTTCCCAACCGTAAATCTATCATTCAATTTACTAGCTTTTTCAAAAATCTTTTTCTTTTTTTCTCCATCCAAGACATTAGTTTGCAAATCAACGTCACGGTCGAATGGACGCCTTGTTGATAATCCAAGCCTCTTAGCTTGTTTTTCCATTTTCTGTAAAAAAACATAATAATAATTATTTTAAACCATTTCAATGGGTATTTTTTAATAAATTAATCAGTATAAGCTTCTTTTTTTACCTTTTTGCTTTTGCTCATATTTTTCAAATGCATATCTAGTAACGATTCGCGTTTTTCTTCTTCTTCGCGATCGCGTTTTTCAGACTTTGATTTCTTAGCTTTTTTACTAGTGGATTCTTCAGATGGAACAAATCTATTTTCCTCTTTCTCTCTCTGTTTCCTCAATCTATCAGCTGGTGTATCCGACCACATTGATCTATCTGACATGTCTGGGCCTTCGGTGGCTCTGAATTTACGTTTTATCGAATCTAAACCTAGTTTTAATGCATGTGCTTCTGGTAATTCTGTCATCCATTCTTCTCTTTTATTTTTATCTTCAACCTTATTGCTAAAATTTTCTTGCACTCGTCTGGCTCTGTTTTCTAGTGCAATTTGAACTCTACTTTGAGCAGCAGGATGGTTCAATGGCACAGGTCCAAAGACTTCTTCATCATCTTCACTTTCGGAATGTGTCTTTTGAATTTCCTCTTTTACTTCAGATTCATCCTTGTTTTGAAAATCTGGGGATGGTAGCTGTGGACCCAGGATAGGCCGTTTCTGCATCGAGGGTGGTAATGCTGGACCATAGCATTCAGAGTCTGATCCTGAATCTGAATCCATTTTTTAGTGAATTCTGAAAGAATAAAAATTTATTTATTTTCTAGTATTCTATTTTTAAAATATCAATGATAAAATTAATTCTTGTCAAAATTCTTAATGAAGGAATAATTTCAAAAGTTACTTATTATTATATAATTATTATAACTGTTGTATGTTGTAATATGTGAAAGTTCAATGTATATTAGAAAAGAAAAATATAATGCAAAAAGTTAGTTGTAATTTTCCTCAACACTGAGCTTTATTTATAATCACATGTTACAACAAAATAACTTGAATTAAACTATTATTAAAAATAAATCAAGTTAAACTTGCTTTTCTGAAGTCTTGTCACTATTTGATAATTTTAATGGTGCTTTCTCTTGAGCCATTTTTTGTACATTTGACGTCTTGAGTCTGAAATCTGATGGAGGTAACAATTTTTTATTTTTCAGCGAGCTCATCATTTTGGACAATTTCTTTCCACTGTATCTAACAGACTTTCCTAAACCAGCTGTAACTATACCTTTCAAGCTTTGAGTTAAACTAGAATGCATTACAATTTTTCTTAGACAAAGGCTTAGAAGTTCATCTGAGTCAGGATCATTAGCGATTGCTCGCAGGCAGTCCTCTGTATCTTGTGATCTTGGTCCTGCAGACCAATTTTTTACAAGCATCATTTGAGGAGTTTTAGGAAGTTGATTAAAATGATGTACTTTTGTCACAGGACTAACGTCTTGTCTACAAGTAATTTCACCATTACTTCCAAGTGGAAAATCAATAAAAGGATCAAAGTTTTTTAATATTGGAGCATAAAGTTCCCTAAAATTTTTCATCTGAGGTTTGACAATATTACTTATTTTATCTTTATCTTCACCAATAATCATACGAAAGTCCCCATGATAAGACAATCCAGCTATGGTCATAAAAAATTGTTCTTCTGTAAAATGCTCTGGCAATAACAACAGTGCAACATGAACAGCAGAATGTAAATTTTGAATAAGAGCCGTTCTGATTGGAGAACTTTTTTCAGGCTCTTGAATAACTTCAACTGGCTTATGTAATCTACCAGCCAAATACAACTTGTTCCAATCCAAAAGATCTTCGACTAAAGATACCTCAGACACTACACCGTACTTTATGTTACGACCTTCAGCTGTTGTGACAAGGGTATTATAATATATTCCAGCTCCCCAAGTTTCTTGAACTCTAGCTACAGCCTTATGACCAAAAGACTTGAGAGGTTGGGCATAATGATGCCGGTTCTTGATCATGTTTTCAGCGTGCCAATTGTATGGGTTAGAAACAACAAAGATTAAATCCAACATATTACTTGACGGGTCACTTTTTTGTTTAAGCACACCAGATCCATAAGCAAAACAGAACTTCATACTCCTGGGGAAGTCACGAAGTACACTTCGAAGTTGTGAAACTTTATCAATCATTTTTGTTGATTTAATGTTCACTTGCACTATGTACACCTAAAATCACCAATAATGCAGTCACTAATACTTCAGAAAAGCAATTTTACACCTGTCCACTTGTTTGAAAGCCATTTCGGATATCTATATTTACTAAAATTTACCTCTACTTTAATAAATGACAAAATAATGTAAACAATCAAGTAAAAAAAACTAACCTGTATTGGTGATGTTATGATCTCAACTGTATTGCGATGACAGAAACGAATTTCCCCGGTTATGAAGCTGAGATTCACGAGAAATACTCTATACTTTGTTCATGCTTAGCTCATGGCTCGATTGAAACTAAGTTACATTACACTTCAACGTGACGTTAGACTCTTTTGTGTGTATACAAGTTTACAAACTGTCTAACTCAGTTTCCTTCAGCAGTGCAGATGCGTGGGCGGCGTGAAAATATTCGTCTGCTCTGGTTTAAAGAAGTAAACAGACCCACGCACGCGGTACTCCAACTACATGTGCGGTGCCGGTTGCATCTAAAATTTGTAAAAGTTATAATTTTTTATTTCATTAATAAAATGAATCGACATTCTTAGCACATCAATTAATCAATAATAAAATAATTATAATTATTTGTGAAAGATGAATAGACAAGGGTAATCTGTGTAATGAGTTGATTCAAAATGATTTTTTTTTTAAAATGATGGAAAAAAACAGACGATTTATGGGTGCATCGACAATTATTATCAATGTGCTTAAAAACCTGTTAGAGCATATTTTTATCATCTTTTGACGATTAAACTAAACTAACCGTTTAGTTATCATATTTTGGAATAATCGCATGTTGCCCGGATAATGTCGTCTTCGTGTTAAATAAGGTGATATAGATATTAACTGGGTATTCTGACTGTGCATCTTATTAAGCATATTTTAGTAATGTCACACAGTAAATGTACTTTTGTAACTCGAATTATCTTAATTCTATTATTATAGCTTTTGATCTAACCGCTAGATGTCAGAATCGATTCTGAATGCGAAAAAATAAGGTCTTGTGTATCTATATCCTTAAATTGTAACAAATGATTATCAGCGTTCATATAATCGAATCTCGTCGCATCAAAATGACTAGGGGCGCGAAGTACAGTGAATATAAGGTGTACCTTCAAAAAATGGTGTATCGTTTACAGACAATCATTGCTACTATGGCTTGACGACGTCATATCCGTTTTTTCTTCGCAAACGTAGGACGGGTATACGCGTCCCGCGTGACGCGCGGATAATTCCGCGAAATGTTTATGACAAATTCAAAACTTACCGTGATTATGTCTATAATAATCTAATCTAATCTAATATAATGGCTAATTAAAATTCATTTTCCACTATGAATTTTTGTAATCACCTGGTCACGAAGTTGGCCAAATTTTCGAAATAATCTGGTCGATCGTTTAGTGCGATCCGCTCGTTTAAAGAAATTATTCACAAAATTAGTACTATATTTAATGTGTTCATTTGAATTGATGATTGAGTCTTTGAGAAATCTTGTTTTGAAATAGCTTTCCATCATCAAAGATGGTGATTAGTTGTGGAAGAATCTAAAATTTTCTCTTGTCTCAGTTAGCTTCTCCAGGTTATTCGATATAAAATTCCGATCATTAGATGTACATCTTTGAAGGTATTTAAAACGAAGAAATTTGAACCCATACCCCAGTATTCAATGTGCGAGCGACCCATAAGAACCAGAGAAATATATTAAAATCAGTCATTCTTCATTCCTCTAGTTCTTATGCAAATTAACATTGAATAAGTAGAGGCGCTGCTGTATCGTACAATCCACTCAGTAGACACATCAACCAATACGCGTTTGGATAAGTCAGACAGAGCGTGACCTCCAACGGCGTAACTCGCATCACGTTTCATAGTTCAGCTTTCACCAAAGTGTCATAGCGCCGCGGGCCTTCCACGTGCGTTCGTATTTTGTCTTCGTCAACAGTGCACACTCTGTTTCCTTTTGCAGTTGAGTGTCCGTCGAGTGATAATAAGTGTTATTTAATTATTATCAGTTTCAGTGCCAGTTCAGTGTAAAATTGCCTGGAAAAAAGGAGCTGTATTCAACATAAGCGTATTACGAAATACGCGCCACGTGTTTTCATTTTCAATTTTTCCTCGACATTCACGTATAACCCAGGCTCATAAAAAAGTCCATAGGTTTCCAAACCATTTTACGAAAAACGCAACCACGTCAGTATTATTCAACGCAATCTATTGACGCATCATTAAAAACATGGCTAATTACGATCAACAAGTTTATTGCTCGTTTAACGAGGTTGATGAATTTCTCGATGAACTTGGTGGCGAGCAGGAATTTGAAAAAGTACTGCTAGCCACATGGGGTGAAACTGTTCGAGAGGAAAGTAAGCCGAATGACCGAATACCACTGAAAAATATCGATAACATCTGGAATAAATTTGACATTTTCAAAACGGATATGTTCGTAGAACAGGAATATGAAGTAATAGATCCTAATTTATTTAGGAGAGCACCGTATGATGGCAAAAGTAGCTCGATAAATTGTCAGTCAACCTCGCAAGACGAGCAAAAACAGATTCAGTGCGATAAACTAAACTTGACGGCGGATGAGGAAGTGACAGAACACGATTCGCAAAACGATCAGTATAGTTCAGATGAAGCAACGGCAGAGACTCAAAACGAAGAGAACGTGATCAACGAGTCGAACCAACTAGAACCAAGGGCCAAGAAACCAAGGACTGTACTAAATCAACTTCAATTAAAAATAATCCAAAAGCGTGAGATTAAACCGAATGTTGATGTTTCTCGACAGGAAGAAGCAGCCGAGGCTGATTTCATATGCGATGGTTGCAACAAAACTTTCCTACACAAAACCAGTTTGACAAGGCATAAAAAAAATAGTTGCCCACCTATAAGAAAACGAAATTGAATGCGAAGCGCGTCGGTGGGCCGAAAAATCCCCTCATAAAATTTTCCTATAGGATCCCGCGAAATCCCTACACGAGTCCTATTGGATTCCAGTAGGAATTTCGCGGGATCCTAAAAGAAATTTTTATAAGAGTCGTATGCCGTCAGAAGAGGCGGATTCGGCTGCCCATCGAGCTGTCTCAGCTGCGGCGAAAGGGAGAAAATTTAAATTTAAATGTTACCTATTATTTATTATATAATAATATTATTTATTAAATGTTACCTATTATTTATTATATAATAATATTATTTATTAAATGTTACCTATTATTTCATTGTAAGTTAGTCATTAAGATTTAGGTAATAAAGCCACATGTCATAACACGCACTCTTATTATTTTACCTTCTCACCCTACCTCAAAAGCCAAATATCTCCAGGAACTACGAAGCCAAAAAATGCCCGATGAATAGTAATTAGCAGCTCACTATGAACACTAGAGATTTAGGTAAGACACAATAATATTGGCACAATTTTTATTGAAATTTTAAAAAAACTTATTTACAAGTATCTGTACGGAGCTGGGGGTCCAGCTTTGAAAACTTATTTTGTAACTCGGTGGATCCAACAGAATCTGAAAGATTATAGTTTGAAACTAAGTTTTCTTTTTT